GGGGGAGGGGGGAGGGGGGGTGATATGGGATGGTTGTCCTTGTCTTTGTTCGGTTCAGTTTTGTTAGGACCAAGCACTTTACTACTGAGAATGAAAAGATCAATTCTAAACAAAGAAATCCCAGAGATTCACACACACGCTTCTTAAAATAGAATACAGATGTTTGTAACAACATATATATGTGAGGTGTGCTGACAAAATAAATTACTTCTCAGATTTTAGCTGTACGGAAATTAATACATCAACTTTATAGGTAGAGTTTAAGCTTAAGCTTTAGTAGAGGTTTTACGGCGCTCGCAACTGCATAAGGATAGGTGGAGTTTGTACAATTTGTAAGTATGAAATAGACTTGATCAAAACGGCATCAATTGAAAATCTATTAATCTGACCCCAGCGTCGATTTTCGGCCAATATCTCCATTCTTGGATTGCGAGAAAAAACTCATTTTGACAGCATGCCTCCCATTTCAAAATTGGAAAGGTCGTAACGTATGTACGAGTGTCTGTGGTGCAGTCGTTAGGCTCTCAGTTGTTGCAGGCAGAAGACACGAGTGTGATTCCTCATGAGAGGGGGGAAGTGATTTAGTGAGCATCTCTCTGTCTGTTTGCTAGGATGTTGTATCCCACTCGGCCCCGGTTTGCCGTGGCAGGCAGGGTCAAAGCAGCCTGCTTCCTAAACAAACTAAACTGTGTTGATAGGGATGGAAAATGTTTGGATAAATGGTCGCTTTTAAGGACAAGCGGGCTAACTTAGATTTCGGGGGTTTCCAGAAATCTTGTGGCACTCATATGACCTTATGCAGTTGCCAGCATTGTAAAACCTCTACTAAAACAAAATAAGAAATCTTGACCTACACCAAAAGTGGGCATTGCCCTACCTATAGGAGAAGTTTGGTTTCATTGGTGTGTATATTTGTTTGGTTATAGAGAAAACTCTCCTTGTCTTTTAAAGAAACCGAACAAGCGTCCACAAACTTTACCTTCGATTTTTTCAAACCAGCATTTTTTGGGATAGCCCCCTTGTGCTTAAAAGTGACCAAATGAACATATTATGTGAGTTAGAGGATTGACCAGGTCACCGAAAATGCCAACCAAAGCATTTGGTTAAGATGAGAATTGACATAAAGGCCTTGAACATCTCTCTCTCACTGGAAAAATAGACGGTCAAAGTGGCAGAGGCAGACTGAGAACAACTTACTTAACCCTATCTGTACGTCGTGTTTTACTATCGTATTTATACAACGTGGGGAACTCTGTGCCACCACTTTCCAAAGAGGAAATTACTTGTTAATCTGATCCGTATGCTTTGCATAGCAGTCTGTCAAAATGATTTTTTGAGAAATACTGAAAGTGTCAGAGATCTTCGTACTAGAAGTATTATAAAATGTGAAGAATACAACCCCGGGGATACAAAATGAGCTCAGGGCGTACGGATAGGGTTAAAGAACTTGAACAGATGGGCGACAAGAAAAGACCAGGAAAATATAGGGATTTTTAAAAAAATCATCAGAGCAGAAAAATGAGTAGCAAACCAAGATCCCCAATGTCTGTTTCAGATCCCGCACTTGAGGAGGAGGAAAAAAAGAGGAAGTAGAGGACGAGGAGGAGGAAGAAAGAGGAGGAGGAGGAAGAAAAAGAGGAGGAGGAGGAGGAGGAGGAGGAGGAGGAAAGAGAGGAAGAGGAGGAGGAGGAGGAAGAAAAAGAGGAGGAGGAGGAAGAAAAAGAGGAGGAGGAGGAGGAGGAGGAGGAGGAGGAGGAGGAAGAGGAGGAGGAGGAGGAAGAAAAAGAGGAGGAGGAGGAAGAAAAAGAGGAGGAGGAGGAGGAGGAGGAGGAAGAGGAGGAGGAGGAGGAGAAAGAAGAAAAAGAGGAAGAGGAGTAGGAGGAGGAGGAAACCAGAGCTCAAAAACTAACTACTCACTTGGTGATGTAAATGTCTCCAGTGGGCACAGATGAAGTGACATACTCCAAAGTAGGTCGGGCAGGTTTTTCCCCATCTCGAGACCGTCGCTTCATGATCTTGGGCAGAGTGGCAACCGACGTGACATGCCTGGAAATACCCACGACATATCAATAACGATGTACAACAGATGCCAAAGACAACATTGTTATAGTAAGCGTTTTACGCCACTTGCAACACAATAAGGTCATATAAGTGCCGAAGATTAAAAGTGTTACAAGAGAGTAACAAGCACAAAGAATAAGGAAGGGAGAAGGAGGGGAGATAGAGACGATAGATTTTTTATAGGAAAGAAGGAGCAAACCACACCAGAGCACCCGCCAACCAATCACCCACAGATGCAAAAGACAACAGTTCAATGACAATACTCGATATACAGCAGATGCGAAGAGAGTATCAATGTCCACAAAACACTACACAAAAATGAAACCTGTAATGTTACAAAACAGTAAATTTTACACCCCAATCCGCCATCTTCACAATTCAGATCGATGATCAGTTACGGATGGTTTTTGTGTGTGTGTGGGGGGGGGAGCGCTGTCACCGCCATGACTGCCTGCTTGGGCAAACTGAGGCTGTGTAGGATATAATATAAACATCCCAAGAGACAGCAGAAGGCACCCTTATTTTTGTCTTTGTTTTAGTAAAAGTTTTACGGCACTTGCAAGACAATAAGGTCATATAAGTGTCGAAGATTATAGAGGTGTTACAAGAGAGTAACAAACACACAAAAAAAGGAGGGGAAATAAAGACGATAGAAGTTTGATAGGAAAGAAGAAGCAAACCACACCAGAGTACCCGCCAACAACCCACCTATTTCTGGCTCACAGCAACAGTGTAAATGGAACACGGAAATGGTTGAGATAGAAGCTGTTTCTTATTTACTTACTTACTATCATAACACACAGCGGATCTGACTATGAGTGGTGCGATGCTGTGATAACTGGTGCGATGCTGTGATAACTTATTTGTCTAGAAGACATTATATCTAAACAAAGCCCTGCAAGCATCAATGATAATGTCTTGAAACATATAAATAGCGACAGAATCACAACTTAAGGTTGTAAAGGGTATATCTACTTTAACCTTAAAGCAAACAAAATGTTTATCTATAAAATAAACAAATAAACAAACAAATAAATAAATAAATAAACACATTTTTAAAATAAATAAACTACAGAACAAATAAATATTGGTGAAAAAAGTGAGAAATATCTGAGAGGTATTTTTGGTACCTGTTCATCTGACGCCGGTTCGGCAAATTCCCAAAAGGATTGGTGTGTCTCGGCCTCTTCTTCAGCAACATGGTCACCTCTTTGGGTCTCTCCTTCAGGGCAGCCACAAGTTTGGCCAACTGCCAGCCCAGCTGTGAACAGAGAAACAAAAAAACACATAAATCAACAAGTGAAAATCATGAAAAAGTTTGTACAGAAGCCTTCATATATAAACATTTTCATTATTTTCTCAGTGAGCTGGGGCCCTGATGCTCTAACCATGTAACTAGAAAAAAAAAATAGATCAACCTTTTTTTGTTTTATAATCATTTCCGAAATTTCCGAGGGCGATCTGCAGTTCTTCCAACAGAAATCAAAATGTACCGGTGGCTAGGCATACCGACAGTTTTACGTGCCACCAGTGTACCGGTGGCTAGGCATACCGACAGTTTTACGTGCCACCAATATACCGGTGGCTCGGCATACCGGCAGTTTTACGTGCCACCAGTGTACCGGTGGCTACGCATACCGACAGTTTTACGTGCCACCAGTATACCGGTGGCTAGGCATACCGGAAGTTTTACATGCCACCAGTGTACGTGCCACCAGTGTACCGGTGGCTAGGCATACCGGCAGTTTTACACACCATCAGTGTACCGGTGGCTAGGCATACCGACAGTTTTACACACCACCAGTGTACCGGTGGCTAGGCATACCCCGGTGGCTAGGCATACCGGCAGTTTTACGTGCCACCAGTGTACCGGTGGCTAGGCATACCGGCAGTTTCACGTGCCACCAGTGTACCGGTGGCTAGGCATACCGGCAGTTTTACGTGCCACCAGTGTACCGGTGGCTAGGCATACCGGCAGTTTTACGTGCCACCAGTGTACCGGTGGCTAGGCATACCGGCAGTTTTACGTGCCACCAGTGTACCGGTGGCAAGGGCTCAAAGGGTGAATTGATGTTCTTCATGTAGGGTCAGGAAACTTACCACAGTCTGGTTGTTGACTTGCAACACCTCGTCTCCCTTCTCAATTTTGCTGCACAGATCGGCTGGTGACTGGAGGAACAGAAAGATGTCATCCATCAGTACTAATCATTTTGTCTCTACAAAATATTATCACATAGCTCAATAAGAATAGAAATTGTCATGCCTTACCCAATATATCTTCTTATGAACAAACATAAAGGAGAAAACTCAAAAGTGAACCATGGAAGAGAAAAACTTAGCTTGGAAAAAAGAAAAGGCAGAAAAACTGAACCTCATAATAGTGCGTGTAAAATGTTTTATCAAGAGGATAAGAAAAAAAAGATTTCACTAATCTCCTCAAAGATAAATTTGCTTCAGTCAGTAGGGTAAATACATATATACGTACAAACACTCGTTGACACATTCACACACACAAGCACTCATTCCCACACACACACACACACACACACACACACAAGCATTCGTTCACACACACACACACACACACACACACACACACACACACACACACACACACACACACACACACACACACACACACACACACACACACACACACACACACACATACAAGCATTCGTTCACACACATAGGCACGCACACACATACACACAGATTCACGTACACAAATGAATAGTTGTTTGATGGACATACAAAATTATGTTATTCTCACATTCCTGACAATTACTAACTGAATAATCTATATTGATGACGGTATGAATGAATTTTTATACCTGTTGGTTCTTGCTTTTTAAAAAATAAAATATACTCATGAACATTCATTGACTATCTCATTTGTAATGAAGCACACAACAGTACATCAATGGTGTCCAGCACACATGAACCAAAGTGGACATTTTCTATGAGATTGAGGACTATATTGTAGAGTCAAAAACAAAACTTCAAAATGTTCGTTCATAAAGTTTCTTAAATGTTTTTCTAGGAATTCACAGAAGAATATCCAAGCAGCTGATAACTGGCACGATCAGCAGGCAGACCCTTTCATGGATCCTGGAGAGGCGAGAGGAGCAGCTATGGCATTAAGCCGCCTGCAGTGATGTCTATTCTCCAACCAATACTTCAAAAATATAAATATTCACGTATGCCAAATCCAAATTTACGTTGAAGAGGTCTGTAATAGTTCATTCTCAGTTTTCAGCTTTTCCAGTTTTTAAAAAAAGTCTCTCCGGTAGATGGCCCATCAGTGCCCAACACTATCAACATTGTGATCTCTCATGCAAACATTCCTTACCCTGTCCTTGATGCAGCCAATCACGTGAATTCCGTAGTACGATGACTGAATATTCATGCCCTACAATGAAGAAAAAAGACCAAACATTAATGTACTTTAAAGTATGAGCTATCGCATGAATGAGTTCAAAGCAGAAACATAATAACAATAAAGCTGACAAAAAGAGAATATTATTTTAATAACTTGGCCGATTTCATCCATTCTCACGGGAATAAACAAAAAGTCCTCACGTTTTTTACTCTCCGAGATTGTTTTTACTTTATTTACTTTTCGGATCAAAAATGGAAAACCCCCCAAAAATGTGATGGTCCGAATTGTGAAAAGACAGAGAAACAGTGATACCAATCAAAATATGAGCATACATGAAAACAAAAGCAATGAATACAAACCAGTTCATCTTCTTGCTTTTTGCGGATTGTAGCAATTTCCAAGGAAGCCGGCTGTACAACGAGAGACTCCTTCTTGTTGAGAACCAGTCCGTCGCAATACTCCGCCATCCCTTGACACTGAAAGTCCAACATACATTCCCACATTAAAAACAAAAAACAAAATAAAAACAAACCCAAAAAACTCAACAAGCTTCCAGTTTTACAACAAATATTTGTTTTCAAGTGGAGGTCTTTACTTTTCAAAACTACTTTTTCCTCCTTTTCTAAGAGAAAAAAAACACAATACCGGTAGTCTGCAGTAAGCTTACAAAATGCCTTTTTTTTTCATTTTGGCGCCAAAATTTTTTGCTAAATCAAAAGCCTGATCAGTTACCATACTTGTATGAAAGAATTAAAGTGAAACTGTGACAAGGTTTTGAATGAATTAGAACTCAAATTTCGGAATCACTCTATTTTTAAATGGTTACGCTGACAACAAAACCTCTTTTTCTCGAAACTGTTGTGAAGAAAAAAAAAGGCATTTTGTCAACTTACAGTAGTAGTGTCAAAACATGATTTGCATTTAAGTTCATTTAAATATGTGACGCAGCGTGGTGGAATCAGGCTCTCGTCAATTTTTGGGCATATTGAGTTATTGGTATCATCTTAAAGCATGTTCACTTGCCTTGCTTTCAATGAAAAAATTATCCATCCATCTTCAATAGAAGTGGAGATATTTTGGATTGAAGGAGGGGGGTGGGGGGGGGGTCACCTGGTTTAAGAGGTAAAATTAGCGAGAAAATGGCCGCCAAAGCTTGGTATATTCCAAAACTTTAGAGTTCATGGAAACTGTAAATTTATATTTGTGTGCCTTTAATCAACCTTTTTGGGTGAAATCCTCAAAAGAAAGTGTTTGTGAATAGACATAAAAGGTGTTGAGCCAAAAAACAAAAATTTGATAAAAATTGCTAAGCAGGGAGAAAACTGCTTTTTTCTTCGATTTCATTTTTTTGACGAGAGCGTGATTCCACCACACTGCCTCACATATTATAACTGTTATTAAATCATTTGCCCTCCATATTTACCTATTCTTAATTTTGATTTTCGACCAAAATCGAGTTTGATGAAAAGTACAAAGCCAGCGAATCCATATTCTTATACTATTCTTTTTCTTGTATTGTCAACTTTTTTTCATCGATTTTAATAATTCACTATCGGACGTTCACATTCACCCCAAAAACTTTCAGCATGCAATGAAAAGTCCTTGAATGGCACAACAGAACACGCATGCTCGTCATATAACAGAACACATTTTCATCTTTTAACAACACATTTTCATCTTTTAACAGAACACATTTTCATCATATAACAGAACACATTTTCATCATATAACAGAACACATTTTCATCATTTAACAGAACACATTTTCATATTTTAACAGAACACATTTTCATCATATAACAGAAAACATTTTCATCTTTTAACAGAGCACATTTTCATCATATAACAGAACACATTTTCATCATATAACAGAACACATTTTCATCATATAACAGAACACATATTCATTATTTAACAGAAGAGCATTCATCGTTTAACAGAACACATTTTCATCACACAACAGAACGCATGCCAACTCACAGTTTTCACAATGGCCTGTTCCACCTCTGCGGTCCCTGATTCTTTCTGAGCAACTGTCACCAACTCAAGGCCCAGTTTCACAATGGAGTTCCGAAGCAGACTGATGCCATGGATAGTTTCAAACGGAGCCCTTGAAAAAAAATAACATTTTCGTAACTAATATGTCAACCAGGGTGTAAGCATTTATGATGAGGCAAAATACGGTCAGTCAAAGGGAATATAATAATAGTAAAGTAACAAAAAATTACCTTGTCCAGTGATGCATCTTACTTTTCTTAATGGAAAAAAATGTTTACCATATTCCAACAATTGCGACAGAATTCTCCCAAACATTTACAGAACAACTTTTCATCTTGATTATTCTTAAAAGCAATATAGATTGTGCTTTACTGGCAGGGTTTAACGTGAGAAGAGAAAATCAGGAAACACAGAAAGACTGAGAAAGGCAGAAAGAGAGAGAAAGGAAGGAGACAATAAAAACAAAATGAAAGAGAAAAGAAAACTGCAGCATAAATTAAGAAAGTTTTTTAAAAAAAATAGTTTTAGTAAGAATTTTAAGGCACTTGCAACACAATAAGGTCATAATAAGTGCTGAAGATTAGAGGTGTTACAAGAGAGTAACAAACACAAAAAAGGAGGAGACATCAGGATGAAAGATTTTTAATAGGAAAGAAGGAGCAAACCACACCAGAGCACCCGCCAACCACCTACTAAATTAAGAAAGATCTATATCATATGACGTAAAGCACAGAAAAGAGAGACAGCTAACTAAAATGAGATAATAAACAGTGGAAAGAAAAAAAAACAACAGGACAAAGAATTAAACACCAAAAGCAAAATGGCTCATTGCTAACGCTTTCTTTCTGTTATTTCTGAAGAACATCTAACAAAGTACGGCCAACTTCTCATAGTAGAACAGATGCCAAGCACAAACCCCACCTGAATGTCTGTCTCACCGATCACAGAAGTGTAAAGAAAAGTTTTTAAAATGTCGGTTCGCATTACTATCTTTGTTTTTGTTTGTTTTGGTAAGTTTTTTTTATGGCGCTCGCAACTGCATTCGGTCATATGAGCGCGCGGGACACACCTAATATTTTCAGTTGGTAGGAAATTTTGAATTTTGCCCGGGTGGCGGCCGAGGCCTACTCTTATCGACTTTAGACCACCAAAGGATCTTTAACGAGCGCAACTTGCACACGGGCCCTCCAAGATTTTTCGCACTTGTCTGAGAAGGCTAGGTGTAGATCTTTCCTAACAGAAGATCAGGGGTGTGGCAGAAAGACAGCAGTTAGGAGGAGCCAAGAAGTAGCAGTAGAAAGGCTGCAGAAAGAGTCAGGAGCCCAGAGGAGGGGGCAAAGGAAGTGAGGGGGTGGGGGTAAAGGAGGTGAGGGGGTGGGGGCAGAAAGTGGAAACGAAAGCAGACAACAGATTATTGCTGGAGAGCAGGAAAGGAGGTGAAAGGAGACAATTTTTTAGAAGAAAATTTTTCGGTCACTACCCGGATTCGAACCCGGGACCTTTTGAATGAGAGGCCAACACCTTAACCTCTAGGCCACGAGAGCCCCCTGCATTACTATCTGAACATAGAATCAGTACCAGGGGAAAAAAAACAGTTTGATCATACAGAAATTTAATAAATACAAACTCGGATAAACTAAAAAAATTAAAAGTGAGAAAACGAACAGTGTTATAATATTAGGTTAAGCAAAGACAGCACACTGTGATACCATAAACTGTCCCCGTAGCATTATGTGATTCTGCGGCCGCGGTTTTTCGCATAATTCTGCAACATCTGCATAATTTTGGATTCCCGCGTTTTTTTCACGTTCTTTTCCATTTTTGTCACAAAACAATTAATTAAGGCCTCGCCATTTAATTAAAAGGGAAGTAATCATCGTAATAAGTCTCACTTAAGTGACACATGGTTATTTCCCTTGTTAGAAGATCTTGGTTATGGGTTGGGATTTTGTTCCTTGAGCATGTTCAATTTTTCAATCCATTGAAAGTTGTTGTTCTCATGTCTGCTGATGTTTCATGTTTGACAGGAGTCCCTGGTTTTAGTAATGTGCCAGCATCAGAGGTCCAGATGTTCTTCTTTTTTTTTTTTTTTTACATTTTTCTTTCCTCTAAAGAGATCTAGATTCTAGATCTACAGCTGAAAGTTACAGAGATTATATTTTTTGGTTGTTTTTTTTCTGACTGATGTGTATTGTTTTCTTTCCAAATACACAACAAATTACTGATACTGATATGTTCTGTTTTCATTTTTTCTGTACATAAAACATGAAAATCATGAAAATTCTTGCTGAAAAAGTGCAAAACATGTCGCGAATGGTGTTACAGTAACTTGCATAATTTTTGCATAATTTTGCTTTTTTTTGGTATAATTTGGCCATTTAAATTTGCATAATTCTACGGGGCCAGCATAAAGAAGGATAGACTCCTCCATGCTATTGCTATTTCCCACAAGCCCAATTATTTACAGCAAAGGTAAACATTCAGCAAAGCAAAAACGAAATTTAAAAAATATCTTCCCCAAACGAAATGGAGGCAAATAATTGGTCGCTTTTAAGCACAAGGGGGCTATCCCGAAAAATGCTGTTTTGAGAAAATCGAAGGTAAAGTTTTGGGACCCTTGTTCAGTTTCTTTAAAAGACAAGGAGCTTTCTCTATAACCAAACAAATATACACACTAATGACACCAAACTTCTCCTATAGGTAGGGCAATGCCCACTTTTGGTGTAGGTCAAGATTTCTGGAAACCCCTGAAATCTGGGTTAGCCCCCTTGTCCTTAACACTTTGCTGCCTCATCTCGCCAATCGGCGATATTTACCCCCCAGTTTCTTTGGATTTCCCCCAAAATGCCTTTGCCTTTGATGGCAAGAGTTTTTACTATATGAGCCTTGTGATGGCACAGTGTTAAAAGCGACCAGTTCTAAAAACGTTAAAAGCGACCAGTTCTAAAAACGTACTTGTCCAGCCAAGAGGTCAACGTCTTCAGAGTCAGCATGATGTCACACACAGAGGAAAGCACAGAAATAGACAACTGTCGGCGATGATGATGGCGGCTGGGCTGGATGTTCGCTCGGTTCGGATCGTTCTCCCCATTGCGGGCCAGAATTTCATTGTGAAGACTGCGAGCCTTGCAGCCTAGCTGTAGAGCCAGGTGCTGCAGGTTCTCCGTTTCAAACGTGTACCTCTGCAACAAAATGGGACTTCTGTTATGTAAGTGAAATAATTAGACCTGCTCGTATTTCATTCCCTTAGCAGCACATTGGTTATTAAGTTGTTCCCCTTTGTAGAAACACTTGCATGTTGGTTTATGGCATTTTCATTACCCAGTATCATAATATGTCGTGTTTGTATTTTATATTTTCGCCAATGTGTACCATTAGGCTGGTGTTGTAATGTTCTACGTGAGAATGACTGAGACGTGTGAGTGTCAATGATTGTGAAGACATGGAATCTGTAACATATGTAAATACCCTAACCTGTCGTGTAGATATTGTTCCTTTTACATATTTACTAAAAATAAATTGCTTGTTATGTTTGACCCAATATGAGACTCTTGTGTTCTTGATTGAAGATCAAGTTAGCTGATACCAAGTTACAAGACTTAACAAGTTCAATGTAACATTCCAGTCAAAGTACGTCAGACTACTCCAAAACACAGTATAACACAAATAGCTAGGATTCGTCGGGACCGGCCTCCGTAGTTCGAGGGATATTTTACCAAGATAAAGAAGAGCAAAAATGGGACCGCAGGCACAGTTCGATGGACGCATGATTTCGAGTCTTCTGAGTTCGACCTATCTGTGTTATACTGTAATTATGAAATGCCGAAATGTAAAAAATCAGATAAATGTGCTGTCAGAGGATGAAAAAACTCACTTGATAATACACATTAAAAACTCAACCCAAAGAGCAACAACAAAAAATTAAACAAATTCTCTCAGGTCTTTTTCTGTAAAGCCTACAATATGAAATCAAAATGCAGGCTTTTTTTTCTCTCACAACATGCCACTACACAGGAAACATCACAAATTACTATCAAAATGCAAATTTATGATTGCATACAACAAAATGAGAAAAGCATCTTTGCACTTCTAAATTCTAAAATGTCCACCTGAAGACAATGACAAAGTTGTTTTAATATTACACATAATGCTCATGAGTATGTTCCAAAGGACCAACTCAGTGCCATCTTTTTGTTCAGTAAGAAATTTTGTAAACCTTTTCGTTTTGACCAAAGAATATTTCTTAATTCCTGTTAAAGATTAATCTTTCTGCGTGCTCATATATGATTTTCTGCAGTTGCGAGCACTGTAAAACATTTACCCAAAAAATGTTTCATACAAAAGGTTTCTTTTTTTTCTTTTCTTTTTTTTTACCAAAAAGCAATTCTAATCTCTATGCTGATTTCCACTGCTGTTGCTCAGAAGAAAGACCATTGACAAAAAGACTTTTTAAGTAAAAGAAGTGCGAAAAATATTCCGAGAAACTCAAACTGACCAATGATCGGAGGAGATCGACACCCTCCATGACGAGTTCCTGATGACCTAGTTTTGTGATCCCCAACTTGTCCAGGTCAGAGTGCGTCAACATCAGCAGCTTACGCCCGTCTACGTTTGTCTTCACAAAGTTCTCAATGTAAGGCTGAATAGCATCGTCCAAACCTAGGGGAATATTAGAATATTACACGTTATATTAACACTGACAGAGAGGCCTGCAAAAGAAAGCATAAATCACACCCCCACTCAGTAAAATACCATACCTGATAGTTTTAAAGATGATCTATTCTCAGTTACTTTGACTAATATCTTCATTTACATAAGTCATCATTTATTGTCAGTTTTCTCCAGAAAAGTGAACTTGTACTCCAACTTTACCTCTCATCATTTTTCCAGGAGAAAAATAGTTGGTCAAAAAACTTAGTTCAATATTATCGTAACCTCAAATAACAGCTGATGGAGTCATTAACTTTTAGACCAAAATGACTACAGATATCCCTGTCACACTCATTTTTGCCTTCAATTTGTAAATCAAACGGCCACCTCTATTCTCACCCGGGGTGAGAATAGTGCAGGCGGGTCTTGTGGCTATTCTCACCCGGTGCGCGTGTCAACAAATTTTGCGTTCACCCTAAACCACAGAATTCTACACTGTGATAAGAGAAAAATTGTAGAATTCTGTGCTGTGAACAAACGTTCCATTACAACTGTACTTGTAGCCTACTAAAAGCGTACAATTTTGTCTGTGGGCAGGGGAGAGAGAGAGAGTGAGAGAGAGAACAAAACAAAATGGCGACCCGTGTAGTTCGGCTCGATTCGAAAAGTTAAATAGCCGTAGCATCTTTGTAGACAACCAAATTAATTTACTTTTGTGTTTTAACATCATTTTTTAACTTTGTTTTGGTCAATTTGATCGTCCACACCGATAGACAGTATTCAGAAAGAGACAGAGAGAGAGAGGAGAGGGGAGGAGTAGATCTTGCGAGAACTTCCGGGCGGGTGAGAATAGCCACTTTCAAATCAAACAGCTGAAAAAAAGCACAAAAGAAAAAACAATGTCAACAAAGGATACAAAAACTAGAAAATCCAAAACTATTTAAAACGCATTTTATAGACACAGAAATCTTCACTGCGATCAAATATCTGTTCGCCCCGGTAATAATCAGTCGTAACACGCACTTGATTGCATTTATACAGCACATAGACAAATTATGGGAGAATTACAGCAGGGGCATCTTCTGAAACCCCTTAATTTTTTAACGAAGTGGCTATGCATACGGCTAAAATGTATCCTCGGACCATTAATTAATAGATTATTAGGCGACCAACCTTTAAGCCAGCTGGCAACATCATCTTCATTCCAGTGTTCAAACTGAATTAGTGCAAAATAAGCCATTTTTGCCTACTTTCCTCCACAGTCAGGTAGTCTCCCTCTTCTGTACAGCCAAGGTTGCTGAATGATGATTTCAGGATGGTCGGATAGTACTGGATCTAGATCTTGTAGTGGGCTGTCCTTCTTCTCTCCACACCTGCCCACTATGATGAAGCAAGCAGTGTCTTGGATTGGATATTAATTTTATGACCAAAACTAACTAAAATGTCAAATGGTCGTAATCGTTATGATCTGTCTTGCATCAGTCGCGTAGCTTAGAGTGAAATAAATAGCTACACCACTTCCACCATGAACTGGTATAATTTAGTAGGACTATAAAATGATTAGCCTTCTAAGATGGCATACTTTTAGTTTTAGCCTCGCCTTTTTGGGCTACGAAAATAGCCTTGAATTTGTAATAAACTACGATGATGATTTGTGAAGTCTTGAAGCTGAAGAAACAGACGGCAATGACATTTTGTCGCAGTCCAGTCAGACTAGGAAAATATTCTGATCCAATAAAGTAACCTGTTGTTATCTGTCAGGTAGTATGGCTAACACCACTGCCTGCTAAAATGAAGCAGACAATGTCATATATGAAATGCTTTATGTTGTATTGCAGGCCTGACGATAAAATTTGATAATGTATCTGCTGGCATCAGGTCGATGGGCAATGTTTACTTCCGGAATTGGCTCCGTGCATCAAACATGTTGTGAAAGGACAAATTGACCATTTACCCAATCACAAACCAACGATATTTTAACCTCTTCCATCGCACCACTTTGCCACTTTATTCCTTGCGCTCAATAATACATGTACACTAAATATTAGATCGGTTATAGTCTACTATATTTTTTTCAATTCTCAAAGCACGTTTCGTTCAAAGATTCGTAATTAAACGCTCCTTATCTGACTATTTCAATTTCAACAACGTGGAAATAATATATGCACCTACACATAATACATTGATTTGAGGGCTAAACTGCCACAATATTTTCTGTAGAACACACGTATGGCCACTAAAACCCTTGCAAACCAATTGCTTTCAAGTAAATATCAATCCTAATTGCCAAAACATCAAATCATTGTGAAATGCAGCCCCCCCCCCCCCCACCCCCCACCCCCCCGAAAACCCCCATATTGTTAAATTTACTATCTTCAAACATCAATAACTCAATAACTATTGATTTGCAGCAAAAATGAAGACCATATTCGTGTTTAGCATGCAAAATACTACTGGAAAAGAAGTATGTAAAACGTGAACATGAGATGGGTGCACAACTAAAAAAAACCCACCCCACATTATAATAACTTATTAGGCAGGGAAGCACAATAGAATAAATAATTTTTAACTAATTGAGGCAATAGATTTCTGAATGATAACAACAAAAATAATAATAATTATAGTACAAGGAAGTTATGAAGAGAACAGGGACGAGAAATAACCTGAAGTACTATACTCAAGTTCACGAAAGACAAGACAGTCTTTCTTAAAAAATGATCTTCATTTTCGTAGGTCATCCTATTGCTTATGATGCCTAAATGTTGGCAAGCTTTTAAAACACTAAGCCAGGAAAACAAGTTTACAGGAGAGAGATGGAGAGAGCGAGAGAGAGAGAGAGAGAGAGAGAGAGAGAGAGAGAGAGAGAGAGACAGAGAGAGAGAGGAGAGGGGAGGAGTAGATCTTGCGAGAACTTCCGGGCGGGTGAGAATAGCCACTTTCAAATCAAACAGCTGAAAAAAAGCACAAAAGAAAAAACAATGTCAACAAAGGATACAAAAACTAGAAAATCCAAAACTATTTAAAACGCATTTTATAGACACAGAAATCTTCACTGCGATCAAATATCTGTTCGCCCCGGTAATAATCAGTCGTAACACGCACTTGATTGCATTTATACAGCACATAGACAAATTATGGGAGAATTACAGCAGGGGCATCTTCTGAAACCCCTTAATTTTTTAACGAAGTGGCTATGCATACGGCTAAAATGTATCCTCGGACCATTAATTAATAGATTATTAGGCGACCAACCTTTAAGCCAGCTGGCAACATCATCTTCATTCCAGTGTTCAAACTGAATTAGTGCAAAATAAGCCATTTTTGCCTACTTTCCTCCACAGTCAGGTAGTCTCCCTCTTCTGTACAGCCAAGGTTGCTGAATGATGATTTCAGGATGGTCGGATAGTACTGGATCTAGATCTTGTAGTGGGCTGTCCTTCTTCTCTCCACACCTGCCCACTATGATGAAGCAAGCAGTGTCTTGGATTGGATATTAATTTTATGACCAAAACTAACTAAAATGTCAAATGGTCGTAATCGTTATGATCTGTCTTGCATCAGTCGCGTAGCTTAGAGTGAAATAAATAGCTACACCACTTCCACCATGAACTGGTATAATTTAGTAGGACTATAAAATGATTAGCCTTCTAAGATGGCATACTTTTAGTTTTAGCCTCGCCTTTTTGGGCTACGAAAATAGCCTTGAATTTGTAATAAACTACGATGATGATTTGTGAAGTCTTGAAGCTGAAGAAACAGACGGCAATGACATTTTGTCGCAGTCCAGTCAGACTAGGAAAATATTCTGATCCAATAAAGTAACCTGTTGTTATCTGTCAGGTAGTATGGCTAACACCACTGCCTGCTAAAATGAAGCAGACAATGTCATATATGAAATGCTTTATGTTGTATTGCAGGCCTGACGATAAAATTTGATAATGTATCTGCTGGCATCAGGTCGATGGGCAATGTTTACTTCCGGAATTGGCTCCGTGCATCAAACATGTTGTGAAAGGACAAATTGACCATTTACCCAATCACAAACCAACGATATTTTAACCTCTTCCATCGCACCACTTTGCCACTTTATTCCTTGCGCTCAATAATACATGTACACTAAATATTAGATCGGTTATAGTCTACTATATTTTTTTCAATTCTCAAAGCACGTTTCGTTCAAAGATTCGTAATTAAACGCTCCTTATCTGACTATTTCAATTTCAACAACGTGGAAATAATATATGCACCTACACATAATACATTGATTTGAGGGCTAAACTGCCACAATATTTTCTGTAGAACACACGTATGGCCACTAAAACCCTTGCAAACCAATTGCTTTCAAGTAAATATCAATCCTAATTGCCAAAACATCAAATCATTGTGAAATGCAGCCCCCCCCCCCCCCACCCCCCACCCCCCCGAAAACCCCCATATTGTTAAATTTACTATCTTCAAACATCAATAACTCAATAACTATTGATTTGCAGCAAAAATGAAGACCATATTCGTGTTTAGCATGCAAAATACTACTGGAAAAGAAGTATGTAAAACGTGAACATGAGATGGGTGCACAACTAAAAAAAACCCACCCCACATTATAATAACTTATTAGGCAGGGAAGCACAATAGAATAAATAATTTTTAACTAATTGAGGCAATAGATTTCTGAATGATAACAACAAAAATAATAATAATTATAGTACAAGGAAGTTATGAAGAGAACAGGGACGAGAAATAACCTGAAGTACTATACTCAAGTTCACGAAAGACAAGACAGTCTTTCTTAAAAAATGATCTTCATTTTCGTAGGTCATCCTATTGCTTATGATGCCTAAATGTTGGCAAGCTTTTAAAACACTAAGCCAGGAAAACAAGTTTACAGGAGAGAGATGGAGAGAGCGAGAGAGAGAGAGAGAGAGAGAGAGAGAGAGAGAGAGAGAGAGAGAGAGAGAGAGAGGGGGGGGGGGGGGGCTTTCACTTTCAATTTTATCTGAATAATGTATTTTTTCTTGTTTTTTATTTTCAACATTTAGAATTTGAATTTCAACTAAATGTTTCTTGAGCACATGCGACGATATATCAGATCTAGAAACTTTTTTTTTTTTAATTCAAAATTTTGGTTGTGAATTTAATAATATTTCTAAGAAGAACTACGATTTGATTTCGAGACCCCACCCCATTTTTAAACTGCTTGTTCCTCTTCTCCAACGTCGTACGTAAAAACAGCTGACTGCAACACAGAAAATTCTCTGAGTATGAAATAGGACATAAATTTGGAACTTTTTTAACTTTGTACAACCCTTTAGCGATCTTCTGATCTTGTATTCAGCCTCTTGCAGCTTCGACAGTTTGTTGTTGTATCGTTTGTTTTTCGTCTCCATTGTCATGCGTAAAAATAGCTCAAACATTAACATTAGGTCATTAGGCTATAATTAGCGCCTTATTTGTGCCCTAAAAACGCTTAGATCTAGTCTACTAAGTAGGCTTAGCAGCCTTTCATTCACTCTTTTACTTTACGAATAACAACCATAATTATTGCAAAAGTACTCCCGATTTAGAAACATCATCATCGTACTGCTATGGATTAAATGACTGGGATTCTACATACTAGAGTCTAGATCTAGATCTATCTAGATCTAGATCTACATCTAGAACCCTTAGGCCCTATGCCCTATTTATTCAGTCACTCACTGTTCCCTGTCTCAGTTGGGTAGATTCTAGATCAAAGACTGTTTATACAGACTACAGAAGACAGAATTCAGCCTTCAATTCTCAGTGAGTTTAACCCGCTGCTTAGATCTTGCTAGCTAAGAGCAAGACAAGATCTATTTATTATTATAGTTTGAATGTTTAGCCTAAAGATCTAGAAATCTAGAGATGAAAAGGTCTAGAACTGACCCTTGTCTCACGATTTGTTGTTGTCGCTAGATCTAGATTTAGATCTAGACATCTAGATCTAGATCTAGTATATATTTATTTTGAATGAGGGCTTGTACTTTGGACAGGTAAAAAAAAAGTAACAATAGATCTAAATTCTAGACTAGTTAGGCCTACAAGTTTCATTGATTTCAGGGTGAGTATACTTTAAGAGTAGGAGAATAGTTTATATCTTATTTTATCACTTTATAAATATCTTAACTTCTACTAGATTCTAGATCTAGATCTAGTCTTGATGACTTTGAAATTTGCTTAATTTTTAAAAAAAAGGTCACTGTTGTTAATTTATTTTTATTATTTTTCAGTAGCCTACCAGACAGAAATCACAATGGAGTCTGGTGCAGCTTCAAGTACATCAGCTGGCACTTGTTGTTTGAAGTGCTGTATACAAAATCCTCCCTCTCGGATGATCGCGACCAACGGATCGAGGGTTGAAGTCAGAGCTTTTGAGGTGAGATTGGTGTGAATTATTGAGAACATATATATATATATAGATATCTATCTGTATATATATAGAGAGAGAAAGAGATTTTGGTGGGATTGAGCAGTTTATGAAGCAAAATTTTGTTGATTTTCCTGTTTCTTTCTTCTTCTAAGGAGAAATTTACAGTATTTCATAGGATACCCCCACCCCACCCTTACATGCACACAACTGGAAGGATTAAAAGAAAAATAATAATTCATTTAGATAGTTTAGCTGAGAATACGATTTTGCCCCCTACTCTATTTATCTCCCTTTCTAGTACACCGTATCTACCATACTATAAGAATATGAGAAAGATAGAGGGGAAAATTTGCGGCAGTTTGGGCAAAAAAAAAGGGAGTGGGGGAGGTTCAGGTAGTGTGATTTCACCAAAAGCCAGATTTGGTAGAAAAATCAACATGTTCAGTAACTCAAGTGATTGTTCTGGGAGCTTGTTTTCTGCAATATTTTCCCTGCATTAGCTCTTTCCTGCGGAATTTTTGTCCCCAGTTTGTGGGAATTAATTTTTGAAAGGGCCAATTTTGTATTGAGGGGCCATATTTTCAAAACACAAACATAAACAAGTTCAACACAAACATATGTACACATTTGGTATTATTTTAAAGGTAATAAGATTTAGAATGTATTATATCTTAATGTGTTGGTGTAAGTAAGTATTTGTGTTTTGTATGGTGGAAAAATAAAAACATTTTAGTCACGTCCCCTCGGAATAGTGAGTCGTCAGTGTTATCGGATCCCTATCAAAACCATCAGACCAATCTAGATCTATCTTTGAATCGTAGTTGTCTTCACTGTCCTGAAGTTAACCAATGAATTTAGTTTCATAGTCGCCTGTCAAATGGACTGGGAATTCATCTTTCTATAACAATCGCTCACTTATTTTCACTTCTAAAAAAACCCACCAAAAACGGTTCTGTAGTAATTACTGGTCTAATTTGTCCCAAATGTGCTCAAAACCCATTTTTTTTCTCTTTCAAATTTGGAGAGAAAGTGGATAATCTATTGCAGTTGCCGAAAATAGGACTGCTGTAAAATGAAAACCATGGCAAATGCTTGCATTGGTGACAAATTGATGCATGCTGTGAATGGCCGCTCCATTCGTTGCTCCGACAGTTCGCTGTAAAGCAATCAACACTCCCATCATCACTCTAATGGGAAAGGGTTAGATGTGGCTTACCAACTGCAGTGGATTTACTGAACACACAGTGCTACAAATGAAACACAGACAGAGAGAGGGAGGGAGGGAGAGAGAGAGAAATGTTTTACGGAGTGGGTTGTCCCAGCATGGGAGATATGTATTTACTAATGTCCTGTCTTCGTGTACATATGCTTGAGTGCACCTAACCTTTGTAACATCTACTGCCATTGTTTACGACCAAGACAAATTTCTCCCTGCGAGATTAATAAAGATTGTCCTTGTCATTGTCATTGTCATTTCATGTTGAATTGTCTTTTTCAATGCTTTATATCTCCTCAGGCCAAAGGGAAAAAGAATCTGGTTGTGGAGTGGAAGGCGGGAGGAGAAGCCATTTTCCACCGAGATTGCTGGAACGCCCTCGTTCACGCGTCCCAACGTGCCCCGGGCACAGCCACAGATATTGAGCTCACAGACCTAGAGCGGAGCATGATAAAAGAGTCCAAGAAGACAGCCGAGTACCACGATTCACACGCCGGTGTTGCAGAGCAGGCTGCACGTGTGGCTCGAATATTGAAAGACAGTTCCTACTGTATCAGCTTTACAGGTAACTTCAATAAACCGGCTCAAACCTAGTTGTAATAGAAAGAAAGTGTCAGATTCTTTTCTAGTACGAGCTATTGGGGGGGGGGGGGGTTCGTTCTTTTACAACAAGAGTGTATTTATAAGGACAGTGGGAAAATCAACTGATTGTGTAAATTTGAAAAGTATAATGTTTAACATTGTTCAATATTCTTTGTTACGCCTGTCTCGATGGCCTTATTTATTTCTACTTTGTCTTTTGTCTTATTTCTTTTTTTATTGCAATAGGTGCTGGAATTTCTACTGCTGCTGGCATTGGGGATTTCAGAGGGAAGGACGGAAAATGGACGGAGAGGGAAAAGAAAAAGAATTATGGTAGGTGCTGCATAACAGAAGCTTCCCCAAGAGCCTTCTTTCTAACTTGATGAATTTTGCTTGATTAAGTTAGTTTCTTGAGTGTGCTGCACAGCGTTCATTATGAATTGTTTAATTACTTATCATTGGTGGCACTGATATTGACCTAAATAATCTGGACATAATATGTGGCAAACCATCTATTCTATAATAAAATGTGAATTTCTAAAACTATTTCAGCTGAAACCGAGAGAGAAAGGAGGAGGAGGAGGAGGAGAGAGAGAGAGAGAGAGGATGAGGTAAAGAGAGAGAGAGACAGGCAGAGAGAGAAAGAAAGAGAGAGAGAGAGGGGGGGTGTATTTCAGAATACAGAAAGAAGAAGACATATTGAATGCATGAAGAGGGAGAGGAGGTAGAGAGACGGAGAGTGAGAGATAGGTGGAGGGAAAGAGAGAGCAAGGGAGAGAGTGAGAGAGAGTGCTTCTGAATGAAAAAAGACAAAGACAGAGAGGAAATGAAAGTGTGTGTTTTGTGGGCATGTGCGTTCGACAGATAGAGAGATCGAGAGAGAAAGAGAGAAACACACATACACACACAACACACACGCGCACGCACACCCACACACACAAACATACAAGCCGTCACCTATGATTTACTCAAGAACAAAACCACCAAAGCGACATCGGCTGACGACGTCTGCTTCAGACCCGTCGTGCACGGACCTTGTATGCGATACGATTGGCACTTACGGGGTCTGTGCACGATGGTAAAGCTCAGGCAGAAACCTTGTACGTCCTTTTTCTTTGTAATTATTCATTTGACTACTTCAAACAACATGTGAAAAGGTGAAGAATCATATGTGAGGCAGCGTGGTGGAATCGGGCTCTCGTCAATTTTTGGGCATGTAGAGTTATTGGTATCATCTTAAAGCTTTTTCATTTGTCTTTATTAAGAGGAAAAAAATATCCATTTATCTTAAATATAAGTTGAGATATTTGAGAATGAAGGAGGTGGGGGTCACCTGTTTTCAGAAGTAGAATTAGTGAGAAAATGATGAGTTATTTCCTAAGCTTAAGAGTCTGTAGTAACTAAAAATTTACTTTTTTTATGCCTTTAATCAATGTTTTTCAGAAAAATCCACACAGAAATGAGTTCTTTAATGAGCATGAAAGGTGTTAAGCCAAAAAACAAAAATTTGATAGAAATTCACAAACCTGCGGAAAATTGCAGGTTTCTTCACTTTGAGTATTTTGACGAGAGCCTGATTCCACCACGCTGCCTCACATATTTTATTTGTAAAAGATTAAAAGTTTACTAAAATATTAAGAATTAGAGGAGATAATCAATTTTACATCTCCTGTAAATTATTATCGGTGTCGCTTAAGAGGTTTGTGCACGATGCTAAAGATATGTAACGATCAGTTGCCCTGCAGGTTAAAGAACCAGCAATCTATTACCCCTGAGATCTGGCAGGGGAAAACAAACAAGATGATTACTTCTGTTACCAGGTGACAAGAAATATTGAAACTTACCAAATATATGGCTCATTTCAAAAACACACATCACTTATATTCACAGGGTCCCAAGCAACAAAGGCCAAAGGTCGCGGGTTTGTGATAGAGGAGCTGAGACCGACCTACACACATGAGGCCCTGGTCAAGCTGACGGAGATGGGAATTCTCAAGTACCTGATCAGCCAGAACACCGACGGGCTGCACCGTCTGTCGGGGATCCCAGCGGAGAATATGTCCGAACTGCACGGAAATTCTTTTATCGAAAAATGTGAATCGTGCGACGCCAGGTACGAAAGAACTTTTGCCTGCCGTCAGAATAAAGTACCTGCCCCGCCTCTGCCTTGTCCCAAATGTAAGATCAACCACAGAACTGGACGGAAATGTGAAAGAAAGGTTAGTATGTTCAATTTTTCCCTGCAACACCACCTGCAGTATGTGCAGCGGTGACTCTTACAGTCACTTAGACTGAGAGCGTCGCAGTTTATGTAAAGTGATTACAGTCACTTAGACTGAGAGCGTCCCAGTTTATGTAGAGTGATTACAGTCACTTAGACTGAGAGCCTCACAGTTTATGTAAAGTGGTTACAGTCACTTAGACCGAGAGCGTCACAGTTTATGTAGAGTGGTTACAGTCACTTAGACTGAGAGCGTCACAGTTTATGTAGTCACAGTTTATGTAGAGTGATTACAGTCACTTAGACTGAGAGCGTCACAGTTTATGTAGAGTGGTTACAGTCACTTAGACTGAGAGTGTCACAGTTTATGTAGTCATTACAGTCACTTAGACTGAGAGTGTCACAGTTTATGTAGAGTGATTACAGTCACGTAGACTGAGAGCGTCTCAGTTTATGTAGTCACAGTTTATGTAGAGTGATTACAGTCACTTAGACTGAGAGCGTCACAGTTTATGTAGAGTGGTTACAGTCACTTAGACTGAGAGCGTCGCAGTTTATGTCGAGTCATTACAGTCACTTAGACTGAGAGCGTCTCAGTTTATGGACAGTTTGTCGTCAATGTGGACGAGGGCATGTGGGTAAGTTTTGTGGAATTGTCTTAACTCAAGGATGTACTGGAGAAAGAGAGAGATAGAGAGAGAGTGAGGAAGAGAGAGAGAGACAGACAGACAGACAGATAGACAGAGAGAGAGACAGACAGACAGAGACAGAGTGAGAGAGAAAGAGGATTACTATAGGATCTGTGCGCTGCAAATGTTCTTTGTATTATTGTACATCGCATTGAGCACTTCTTTGTGGAAATGCGCAATATAAATGCAATTTATTTATTATTATTAGATTCTGTCCAAGACATACAGCATTCCATGTCAAATGTTTCTAACCACTCCTGTTATTTCCAGGGCTGTGACAGTTATTTGATGAACACCATCATCAACTTTGGGGACTATCTAGAGTCGGACGTCTTACGCTCTGCGGAGCATCACGCCAAGCGAGCAGACGCGGTTCTGGTTCTGGGCTCTACACTTCGGGTCAGCCCGGCAAATTCTCTGGTGGCGATGGGCGTAGAACCGCACAGGATCATTATCTGCAACAGGTAGTCCCAGTAATTTATACCTGTGTGAAGTTTGTTCTGATGGAAGAGAAATTACATGGACTCAGTCATGAGTACGCATTTTATTTGATGTAATATGAGCGTGTGGTTTGCTTTAACGACTGACAGGAAAGCACACTGACTAAAGAATGAGCATGTATTGTATTATATCAGAGCCTGAAGTTTATTGGCATTGGGGAAAAAAAGGACGTCGACTCAATGACGAATGTGGTGCATTCTGGGAAAAAGTCACAGTTGGATGGACAGAGACAAAACCGTAGGTCTTTCCAGTGAATCGTTCCAACTATTTATGGGAGTTTTAAGTGACTGTCGCAGTTATTCAAAGTACCAGATTTTTTTTTCCTGATGAGTGACTAATGTCCGTCAATTCTTCACAGCAGGCCTTTGTGTTTTGTTTTGTTTTTTGTTTTTTGAGGTGGCATAAAAAAAAAATTTTTTAACCCTATCTGTACATCATGTTTTACTATCGTATCATTACGATGTGGAGAACTCTGTGCCACCACTTTCCAAAGAGGAAATTTACTTGTTAATCCAATCCGTACGCTTTGCATAGCAGTCTGTGAAAATGATTTTTTGAGAAATACTGAAAGTTTCAAAGAGATCTTCACACTAGAAGTATTCTAAAATGTGAAGAATACAACCCTGACGGTACAAAATGACCCCAGGCGTACGGATAGGGTTAATTTCAGGTATACAGTGACTTCATGTGGCCATATCTTAATCTATTTCCCCCCCTTTTTTTTTCTTTTTGCGCTATCAGACAAACCACTCCTTACGACGATGACTGTGGGAACGGGGCTCGTGTCTTCGGAGATTGTGATCGGCTGATGCGGGAGGTCATGAGGTGCCTGCTGCCCTTACCTGAACTGACAACGTGGGAGAAGGAGAGAGAACAGCGCTTAGTGGAATACAGCTTGAGGAGAACTCTTGTCAAGTAACTTCAACAACGAAGATGGAGCTGCTTAACAAATTATAAATAGATTTAATCATCTCAGTTAGCACATCCATGAAGTAACATCACTAATTAACCCTTTACCCCCTGAGGAGTTGTCCTGATAAATGCCTTGAATTCCCAGAACAAGGGAAATAGTCCTCTAAATATACCATACGTGATTTGTTTTTTAAGAACTCATCAAAAAAAAGAAGACTGTCTTAACTTTACAAAAATATTTGGATCAAACACAACTACTTTAGGAAAAGAATAAATGGTTCTAACAAGCCTGTTTCCGCTGCGGTACAGTATGGGCGAGTTATTTATTTCTCCTATCACAGATGTAACTGTCTGGGTTTCGTATTCCTCATCTATTCCTTCAAATAATTAACTCATCCAGTGACATATACGTGATTTTCTGGTAGATAGTGCAATGAACTTTCAACATGTCCTTGTTTGGTTGAGATCGCTTCATATGCCGAGTTATTGCGTATTTTAAAAAATTTCTTGCCTCCATTTTATCATTATATTTATTTCAGAAATTCACACATACAGTTTCTGGGTCGATTTGAACCTTTCAAAAACTCAAAGAAAGAAGATGGACTGTACTTTTGCATATATAGCCTTGTTTTCAGTCATATTTAATCAGGCATTCTGCCCAGACTTGATAGAAATGCATACCATGGCAGCCTTGGGCATCAGGCATGCGTTTAGTGACTGCGGTAGTTTAAAACACTGTGCTATACCTCTCTAGTGGTCAGCACTGCACAACTCCTCTCCAGGGGGCAAATGGTTAAGACAGACCTCGGTGAAGTGAAATGAGCAGTTTAGGAAAAAATCTGGGAAATGACAGGAATAACCAAGATAAAACTGCTCTTGAATTGTGAAATGTTAGTCGTAACCATTATCCCATCTTAGTTTCTCACTTGATGCATTCCAAATAAATGATACAGAAGAGCAATAAAGGGCAAACTAAAACCTACAGAGCTTTTGCTTTCGTAATAAGGGATTGAAATTTGGTGCCTATATCACTGTTTTGTCAAGCTGTCAGCATATTTCTTCATGCTTTTTATTATGATGAAAAATGTTTTTGCCAATGATGTCTCAGAGACTGGTGCTATGGAGCTCCACGTTCTAAATCTCTGCCATTTTTCCTAGCAAGGTGCTCAGAACCACAAATTCACTCAAAGCCCAGGTGTTGCTGTTGTTGTTGTTGCTATTGTTGTTTTGTTGTTACTGCTGTTGTTATCGCTTTCATTCACATTTGATGAAATGTACAGCTGTCTTGTGGATCACACAAAATTTAATTCACCTCAGCTCTCCTTCACGTTGTTTCACTTTTTGAAACAGTTTTTAACTTTGGCCTAATTATTTATGAATGCAAACGTTATGTCTAGATGCCATCCATATTCAAGAATGATTGCACTTACCTGTTGTAAAATTGTCAGGATCCACCTCCTGTGCGTACAGTTTTTCCATAATCAGTCGTACAATTGTGTCATAACGCGGTGGAATCAGGCACTCGTCAAGTTTTGGGCTTATGGAGTTGTTGGTATCATCTTAGTTGTAGTTTTAGTAGAGGTTTTACGGCACTCGCAACTGCATTAGGTCGTATGAGCGCCAAGGGGTGGATGTCAACAGAGAAGTCCTTACAGGGAATCAGGCTCACTCTGCTCACCTCTCTAGCTTCAACAGCACAAAGTCTGCTTTGACTATCAAGGCACCCCGGAAATAGTGGGTCACAAGAGTGTGACAAACATACAAAAGAAGTAGAGGAAAATGAATAAAGTAAGGATTAGGAAAGAAAAAGCAGCAGTTCCCTGTTGTAGATCAGGTACAGTTATGAACATGACATTGTTGGATCAGCCCATTTACAATTCTACTGTGCATAAGTACGAGAAATGTCCCCCCTTTGGGAATAGCCTGAAGACACTTCAGTCAGCGGCACCGCCCCTGGGGATGGTATCATCTTAAAGCTTGTTCATTTGTCTTGCTTTTGATGAGAAAAAAAATACCCATGCATCTTGGATACAAGTTAAGATATTGGCCATTGAAGGAGGTGGGGGTCACCTGGTTTCAGAGGTGAAATTAGCGAGAGAAAATTGGCTTCAAAGTTCCAAAGTTTAGTTATTTCCTCAGTTTGAAAGTCAGTGGAAACTGAAAATTTACTTTTTCGTTTCTCCTTTAGTCAACGTTTTTCAGTAAAACTGACACTGAAATGTATTATTTAATGGACATGGGAGGCGTTAAGCCAAAAAACAAAAATTCAGTAAAAATTACCGAACACGGAGGAAAAATGCCAGTTTCTTCACTTTCATTATTTTGACGAGCGCCTGATTTCACCACGCTGCCTCACAAATGATTCTTTCAGGGTTTTTTATAGTCACACAGAACTCTAACAGTACCTCAATACCTCAGATGAATTTGTATAAGTAAATCACCTCTTACGATCAAAATACAGGTAGTGTACAAAAGCTACTCAAGAATTCTATTTCTATGCTTTATATTTCTTTCAATCTTTCATCCCATCCATTTTCACTCTTTGGAGTGCTTGTCACTTTTTACTATACCTCTTCTATCAAAATCAAACACTGAAAAAAAAAACCCATAAAGATGTAGCCTAAATGTTTCTAAATTTTTTAGGACGTAAGCTTTGATTGACCCTGCTTTTTGTTGAAAGATTCTGTTCAGGTACTAAATACCAGCCCCCCCCCCATGGTGTATTGGTGCTTTTCTCTTTCACTCAGAGAATGTGAGTTTGATTCCCATATGGGGGCAAATTTTTATCGAGTATCTCCATCTATCTGCTTGGGCATTGTATCCGTCTCATCCTCGGTCAGCTTTGACATTGCCTGATAGGGTTGAAGTTGAAGGAACCCACCTCCTAGATGATCTAAAGAGTGTTGATAAGGGCATAAAACTTTTAGTTGTGTGGGTTTTTTTGTCTTGGGGTTTTGGTTTTTTTGAAAGTTCTGGAATAAAGTCTTGTTCCTTGTGTTGATCCTACTGGAGATAGAATAGAGTTCACATTTTTCTGTCTTTGACTTTGTCTTTGGGGTCCATGTCTCCATGAAGCGAGACGCACACCATACAACATACCTAACTGGCCAAGTTTGTTCTATTTCTACAAAGATATGATTGTGATATTGTATTATGCTTTGTTTTTTGGAAGATATTATTTGTTGTTGTTATTTTTCTAAGATGGATGTCAAATGTCATGTCTTTACTCTGTGG